AAAAAAAAAAAAAAAAAAAAAAAAAAAATAGCAGGTGTGGTAGCAGGAGGCACCTGTAGTCTCAGCTACTTGGGAGGCTGAAGCCAGAGAACTGCTGGAATACGGGAGGCAGAGGTTGCAGTGAGCCAAGATCACGCCACTGCACTCCAGCCTGGGTGACAGAGCAAGACTCTGTCTCAAAAAAGAAAGAAAAAAAAGAAAAAGGAAAATTTGTCAGTGTACTCAAAGGTCTACCCCTTAAAAAAGAAACCAAAGTTGGGTGGTTAAGAAACAAAATTCCCATGTTATAGATATTGTTCCAAAGTATAGAAAAAGGTAGAAAGCTGCCCAGCTCCATTCCTAAGATAAGCATAGCCTTGACACAAAACTAGACAAGGATAACTCAAATAGAGAAAAACAGAAAGCAAACTCACCAATCCAGATGTACCTTTTTTTTTTAGATTTTTTTTTTTAGACCAGGCCTTGGCTCTCTCCCTCAGGCTGGAGTGCAATGGCGCAATTTCAGCTCACTGCAACCTCTGCCTCATAGCTCAAGCGATCCTCCCACCTCGGCCTCCCAGGTAGCTGAGAACATAAGCACGTGCCACCATACCCAGCTAATGTTTTGTATTTTTTATAGAGATGGGAGATGGGATTTCATCATGTTGTCCAGGCTTCGCTGTAACATGGCTAAATAAAATATTAGTAACTCCCATCAGGTCAGGGGCGGTGCCTCACACCTGTAATCCCAGCACTTTGGGAGGCCGAGGCAGGTGGATCACCTGAGGTCAGGAGTTGGAGACCAGCCTGGCCAACATCGCAAAACCTGTCTCTACTAAAAAAAAACAAAAAATTAGCCATTTTTTAATAATATATAAAATTATATTTTATATAATAAAATAAAACAGAAATTTTAAATCCCATTTTATTTTTGCAATAACCCCAAGGAAGATTTTGGCCCCATTTTACAGATGTAAAAACTGGAGTTAGAGATTAGCTTGACCAAAATCATCTTTTTTTTTTTTTATGTTTCCCTGATGATTAATGATTTTGAGCCT